CAAGGAGGTTACAGTTTGCGCTAGACTCAACTTATCATGCTGGTGATTTGATTTGATGATTTGACCTAGTGATTTGAGGCTTGTGACTTGAACTAGGGGCTTGTGAACACGAGCGGATTTGCTACCGGGGTACAGCCCGAATGAATGGGAAACGAACCGCCGAACGCCCTGACTTTTGGGAACACCGAACGGCCTTGACTTTGAAAATACGTGCCCCTAACAATCCAGTGTTATGCGGGCGTACGCGTGCCTAACAACTTTCTAATAAAAATTGAAGACCTGAGACTGAGAGAGACTGATGATAGCAGAGCAGTGTGCAGAGCAAGAGCAACGTGAGGTTAGATCTATACCGCAAGTTCCTTGAGAGCAATTTTATTAAATACATTATGTTCGTGGCGTGTTCTCGATGTTGCCACATGAAATGAAAATTATGCAAAGTAGTAGTAGTAGTAGTAGTAGTAGTAGTAGTAGTAGTAGTAGTAGTAGTAGTAGTAGTAGTAGTAGTAGTAGTAAGGATTATTTTTGCTAGTAGCTAGTTGTAAGTAGTAGCATGTGGTTGGTAAGAGAGCTAGACACACAGAAACAAAGAGAGTGAGATTTTTAAAAAAAGAAACTGGGCCTAGTTGTGGTACCCTCTAGTAGTAGTAGTAGTAGTAGTAGTAGTAGTAGTAGTAGTAGTAGTAGTAGTAGTAGTAGTAGTAGTAGTAGTAGTAGTAGTAGTAGTAGTAGTAGTAGGCTACAGTCGAACCTGCTCTAACGGCCACCTGCATAAAACAATGTCACTAATGTCACCTCTGTACATCTCTCTCTCTCTCTCTCTCTCTCTCTCTCTCTCTCTCTCTCTCTCTCTCTCACTCACTCTCTATCTATCTCTCTCTCTCTCTCTCTCTCTCTCTCTCTCTCTCTCTCTCTCTCTCTCTCTCTCTCTTCGTCTTTCATTAGATGAACAAATATCTATACCCATCGATCTTAAATAGAAGTAGAGAGTTTTGCGACTGAACAAGATGAAGGTTTCTTGTGTCAGAGAGGGAAATAACAGCGAGAAAATGGCCGCCAAGATTAGGTGGTTTTCCAAGAATTGAGAGTCCTTGAAAACTGTATTTTTATTTACATTTGATATGTCTTTGACCAACTTTAAAAAAAAAATCCACGAAGAAATGTATGTTTTTTTCATCTAAAGAAAGACAAAAGCGTGATGAAATCAGGCTCATCAATGTATAGTAATCTAGAAAACTGGCATTTTAAAATGATTTTTTTGGCCGTTGGACATTTTTTTTTCGAATTCTGTTCTTCTTCTTCTTTTAAAAAAAATGGGGGGGGGGGGTTAACACCATCTGTGTCCCTTTAGAACACATTTCTGTGTGGGCTTTACTTTAAAACACACACACACACACACACACAAACACACACACACACACACAGAAACACACACACACACACACACACACACACACACACACACACACACACACACACACACACACACACGCACACAAAACACGTTGATCGAAGACACAAAAATGTAAATTTGCAGTTTCCAAGGGTACTCAAGCTTTGGAAGTCCCCCAACTTTGGCGGCCACTTTCTCGCTGTTTCTTTTTCCCTCTGAACCAGTGACCCCTATCTCTTTCAATCGCGAAAATTTCTATTTCTATTAAAGATTGATGAGTGTGTTTTTTCACCTATAGAAAAACAAATAAACAACCTTTAAGACTATACCAATAACGCCATAATAATTATGCTCGAAAATTGACGATTCTACAGCGTGGCAACACTTTATATTAGCTCTGTAGAGACAAGAGACCCGTCAAACAGCTGATACAGTGCTAATCCGAACTTTGTTCCAGATTCCTTAAAGGGATTGTTTTTATAAAGGGCTTATCCAATAATCGTCATCATTATTATCATTATTACATTAACACCCCTACCACTATCAACCACTACACGTATTAAAACAACTACAGCAATTTAATAACGCCCTTGCCGCCAACTCATGGCAATCACCACAACCACCACCACCACCACCACCACCACCACCATCATCATCATCATCATCATCATCATCATCATCATCATCATCATCATCATCATCATCATCATCATCAGAGCCTCCCCATTGGTTGTGGCTGTCTTCGTTGAGAACGGTACTCTCCATCGTGAAAGGGACGGCTTGCCACTTTGATCGGACCCTCATTGGAGTTTAAGATGGTATAAGAACTTTGTAAATGAAGAGTTCAGCTCGTGTTGCTGAATGTCCAGGAACAATGGCAATTCGATTGGGGTTATTTGGACGAGTGGAGGTACCGCTAAGCATATTGACAATGGAGCCGAAAAAGAGCCTCGCTCTGGCTCGAAGATTTCTTCGTGGAGTCCGCCAGGCCCATTAAGGAAACAAAAAAATCATCATCATCTTCAAGTGCTAGAATCTAGATCGAAACAGACTTCGACG